ACGCGAGACGCGGGAGCGGCGACGTAAGCTCGCCGGCAACGGCGCGCTGTCCTCCCCCCTCGAGGGGATTTTCTTTGCTTTCTGAATGATTTCAAGAATTATATTTTTATACACGGAACCGTTTGTATTTTTGGCTGTATAATTCAATTCAATTCAATATTCTTTATTTCACTCCCCTTCCGGGGCTGGAAAGGCGTTTTTTCAGTAAAACGTTCCCAAAAACTTTACATTTTATTTTGTTTTCCTGTTTCCTGCCTGGCCATTAGCGACCTTACATTTTTTCTTTTTCCCCTCCCTCTTTCATTCTGTGTCCCTCCTTTTCTCCTTCCTACCCCTCCCGTTCCACGCTCCTCTGTCTTCCCTCGTCCCGTTCTGTCTCTCCTCTTCTTTCATCCCTCTCTCTCCCTTGTCCGCTGTCCTCCTTCATTCTCCCCTTCTGATCTGGATATGAAATTATATTATTTTCCTTATATTCCTATCACTTACCTCCTTCTCCTTTTCCTTTTCCTCTCCTCTGCCATTATTCCTCCTTTCTCTTCTCCTTTCTCCTTTCTATCTTACATTTTTCCTATTCTCCTTTCTTTCTCCTTGCTTCTTCCTCGTCCGAGTCCACCAACAGTTTCTCCTCCATTCTCCTTACGATCTCTTCCTCCGCTGTCTTCCTCGTCCTTCCGTCTTCTTCTTCTCTCCTCTCTTTTTTCCTTTCTTTTTCCTCTCTTTCTCTTATTCTCTTTTCCACTGATTTGTCTTCATCCATTTTCACTTTCATTCTATTTCCTTCTCTCCTTCTTGCGTCCAGCACCTTCCATTTATCCTCCTCATTCCTCATCTTCACTAGTATCGTTATCCATTCTCCTCTCTGTCCTATCACGTTTACCTCCTTTATTTCCGCCCTTACCTTTAGTCCTTCCGTGAACAGTTCTTTCACCTTTTCCCAGTTTGATTCCTTTCCTTCCCATCTCTCCTTCTCTATTCTTATAATTATATTTCTTTTCCTTTTCTCATCTTCGTCTCTCTCGTATTCCTCCGTCCACCACTTTCTTTTTTAGCTCTTTCCTTTTCCGTCTTCATTTTCCTCCCTTTTCCTTTTGCCTGTGTTCCCTTCTATCTTGTATACTTTCCTTTTTAATCCCTCTATTTCTTCCCTCATCTCTCTTATCTCCTCATCCTTTCTGCTATTTTCCTCTCTAATCTCCTTCGTCATCTCCATTATTTGTTTCCTCACTATTTTCTCTATTTCCTCCTTTTCTATTATTATCGTCCCTCTGCATTCTATTCTTCCTTCCATTTTCTTTCTTTTTTCTTCCTTCGGGTTACCTGTAACAAAGTTATTTGTGTTATTCTTTGTTCTTTTGTTTATCTCACCTTGTATCTGCCTGTCTTCTTCTTCTCTCCAGCTCTGCCATCCATTTCTCTCCTTCTCCTTTACTGTTTAGTATCCTTTTAATTTTCTCACTAATTCCTTCTGGTTTCTCTTCCTCCTCTCCTCTTGTGCACCACTCCAGCACATGTTCCCATGTTTCCGTCTCTGCGTTACATATCCTGCAATTATTCTTCTCTTCTGATTCCCAGTATCTTCCTCCTCTCATCTCATTGCCTAGTCTGAATCTTGCTATCCTAGTCATTGACTTTTCTTTCTTTCTTTTTTCTAGGTATTCTGGTCTTTTATCTTCTGCTATCTCTTTGTACCATTTGTTGTATTTTGATTCTCTTATCCTTTCGTCTCTCTCCTGTTTCTGTATGTCTTTATCTCTTCTTACTAATTCCTCTATACTGCTCCATCCTTCTCCTCTTTTTCCTTTTATTTCCTCTGTTGCGTATCCTCTTTTTTCGTAGAAGCTTCTTCTCTCCTTTTCCCATTTTGTTTCTTCCTTCCTGTTTTTTCCTTTTATTTCCTTCCAGCACTCTGTTGCTATTTCGGTTCCCTCCCCCCTCTCTAGTTTTTCTTCGTATTTCATCGCCCTTTTACTAGCGCTTACTCTCATTTTGTCTCTCTTTGTTTCTTCCCTTATCATGTATCCGGGCGTGCTCCAATCTAGATTCAATGTCCATCTCATGAACCGTTCATGCATTCTTTCTATTTTCTCTCTTTCTTTCCATCCCCATATTTCTGCTCCGTACAGCGCTATGCTTGCTACCAGCGCTTCATATAGTTTTATCCTTCTTACCCAGTCTCCTCCAAATAACCTTTTCCCTATTCCCCAGACTTGTCTCATTGCTATGGTTGCTTTCCTTACTCTTTCTCTTATGTGCGCCTCTTGTCCTCCGTTTTTCTGAAATATGTATCCTAAGTAGCAGAATTCTTTTACTTCCTCTATCTCTTCTCCTTTCCACTTCCATTCCATCTTCTTCATTTTGCCTCCTCCTTTCCTGAATCTCATTACCTTTGTTTTCTCTACATTTACTTTCAGCTTTTTTCTGTCAAAGTATCTCTCAATTCTTTTCAGCATTCTCTTCATCTCCTCTTCATCCTCCGCTATAGCTACTATATCGTCTGCATATGCTAACGTCCAAATTTTTGTTTTCCCTACTACTACTCCTCCATCTTGTCCTTTCCTCATTGTTTCTTCTAGATCTGCCAGCAGCAGTATGAATAGCATAGCGCTCATTGGGCATCCCTGTCTAACTCCTTTGGTCGTCCAGAAACATGCTCCCTTTTCTCCCTTTATTCTTACTACGCTTCTTGTCTTTTTGTATAGGCCTTCTATTCTAGTTCTTAGTTGTTCGTTGATCTTTTCGTTTTTCATTACTTCCCATATTTTTTCTCTGTCCACGGAGTCGAATGCTGCTTTTAGATCTATAAATGCCGTCACTATTTTCCCTCTTTTCTTGTTTATCGCTTTTCCTATAATGTAATTCAGTGCATATATATTTTCCATTGTACCTCTTTTTTTTCTGAATCCTACTTGTGTTTCCGGTAGTATTCCTCTTTCTTCTACTTCTCTCTCCAGTCTTTTGTTTAGGATTGCTGCGTATATTTTGTAGCTTGTGTTCATTAGTGTCACCCCTCTGTAGTCCTGTGCTTCTTTTCCTTCCCCTTTCTTTACTATAGGAACTATGATGCCTTCTTTCCAATCTTCTGCTATTTCTCCTGTTCTCCATGCTTCGTCACATATTTCCCATATTTTTTCCTTCAGCTTTTCTCCTCCGTGTATCCATACCTCGTTCGGTATTCCGTCTGCGCCTGCGGCTTTCTTCTCTTTCATTTCTTCTATTACTTCTTCCACTTCTTTTCTTTTTATTCCTTCCTTCTCCTCTTTGTCTTCTTTTCTTTCCTCTCCTTTCATGTTTTCTTCCTGTGGTTTCACTGTTGTTCCTTCTAATATCTCCATGAAGTGTTTGTTCCATTGTTCCTCTGTTATTTCTTCGCTTACCTCTTTTCTGCTTTTTCTTTCTCTATTTATGAATCTCCATATTTCTTTTTCATTAGTTGCTTCCTTTGCTTCCTTCATTATTCTTTCTCTTTCTATCTCTTTTTTCTCTTTGATTTTCTCTTCGTATTCTTTCTTCTTTTGTGTGTACCTTTTTTTCTACTTCCCCTTTCCTCCATTTGGTTAAATTCTCTCTTGCTTCTCTCCTTAGTTTTGCACATTCATTGTCCCACCATCTGTTCTTTTTCTTCGTTCTCTGCTCTTCTTTTATTTCTTTCCATTCCGCGGCCTGTCTTGCCATTTCCTTTATTCCTTCTAATTTTTCTTCTATGCTCTCGCCTTCTTGTCTCTTTCATTCTCTCCTTGTATTTTTCTGTTCCCTCTTTTGTCCAGTTCATTATTTTCCTGACTCTTTTTTCCTTTTTCTTTTTTCTCCCACTGTTCCTTTTACTTTTATTATTACAGGCTGATGGTCCGACTCAATAGCGTCTCCAATCTTAATTTCTTCCGTTATTTCCCAGATCTCTTGGTTTCCAATTATGTAATCTATAACTGATTCTCCTCTACTTCCTATGAAGGTGAATTCTCCATCTTTGTCTCCCTTTGTTCCGTTCATTATTCCCAGTCCTTCCTCCTCTACGAACTCCAATAGCTTCCTTCCTTCTGCGTTGATTTCTTTGTCTTTCGACTTTCTTCCTTCTCCCATTATCTCTGTTAATCCTCCTTCCTCTCTTGTTCTTGCATTAAAGTCTCTGTGGTGAATGTGTGAATTCATACACAACTGTATTCATTAGATGCGACTGTGTTCATTATGTTTCTCTATTATTGATTTGACAAACGAGAGTTAGTTTTTCTATCACCGCCGATACATACGCGAAATATATTTATTTCATATTTATAGAAGTACCCCTAGCCTTGTCCTTATTTGCCTCGACATACAGAGTTTACTTCAGTGGCGACGAGGATGGGATATGATTCGCGCGTGAAAAGAAAACAGTGCAGTGAGTGCAATAGATTTCGTCATCTCAACCCAACCTCATCAAATGGAGGAATTCGCCAAAGCTCTGCTTGAGTCGCAAAGGCTCATGCAAGAAAAGATGCTCGAACAGCAACAAATCATCGTACAACTTCTTCAGCGTCAGCAACCTGGCGTCGGAGGTGAGCAGCAAATCAACCTTCCCGGCGACTCCAGTTCTCGCAGGATCAAAGATCTGGCCGATTCAATGCTCCCATTCGAGTACAACCCAGACGAAAACGCAGTCTTCGAGCAGTACTATGCTCGATACAAATCGATTTTTGAGGTCGAAAATAATGATCTCACCGACACTGCAAAAATCCGATTGCTCCTCACAAAGTTCAGCACTTCGGATTTTCAGCGATACGCAGATTCGATCCTACCAAAAGAGACACATGAAATCTCTTTTACTGACACCATTAAATCGCTAAAAAAGCTTTTTGGACACCGACAGACAAAATTTAGCCTTCGTCACAAAGTTTTCAGCCTTCATAAGGAAGACAATGAGGACTACAGCCAGTATGCAGCTCGCATTAATAAACACGCTGAAAAATTCGACATCACCAGCTGCACCGCCGATGACTTCAAAGTTCTGCTTTTTGTCAGTGGTCTGAAAAGCCCACAAGAGTCACGTGTTCTCGAGAAACTTCTGACAAAAGTCGAGCACCAATACGTGCAATTCGAAGCGTTCACCGACCAAGCTCAGATCGCTGCTTTCGTAAAACTCCAGCTTGACGACCTGGTCAACGAGTGCCATCGCATGCGAAGCCTGGAAAAGGATAAAGAGACCGTCGTTGTATCATCTTCAGGATCAGAAGTCCACGCAGTTCGTCAGGGCTACAACAAACAAAAGGAGTTTCCCAACAAGAGTTCGTCTCAGTTGAATCCACAATCGTCATCGAGTTTCCACTCCAATCAGGGACCTTGGAAACCGAAATGTAAATTCTGCGACGGCGTTCACTGGCACATCAATTGCCCATTCAAAGACAAGGAGTGCTCCGATTGCCACCAGACCGGTCACAAGCCTGGTTTCTGCGAAAAAGCCCGAATTTACATCAAGAAACTCCAGCAGAAACGCTTGCGAAACCTCTCTGGCCCAACAATGAATCATCAGACTTATCAGGTCTCAGACATCAACTCAGTCGACATTCAGCGAAAATTCATTGAGCCGGACGTCAACGACAAGAAACTCAAGCTGCAGTTCGACACAGCATCAGACATCACGATAATCTCAAAATTGAATTGGGCTCATCTCAGAAGACCGACGCTTCAACCAGTTACAAAAGCAACCAAAAGTGCATCGGGAGACTCGGTCCCACTCCTCGGACTTTTCCCGTGCGTCGTCAAATTCAAAGGTCGTGAGGAGTTCACCGAATGCTACGTTTCATCGCGTAATCTCAACTTGTTCGGAAATGACTGGATTAATAAGTTTGACCTTTGGGACACACCAATCAACCGAATCTGCAACGCAGTTCAAGTCGACGGAAGCAACGATCTCACCGCCGAGGTTATCAAGAAGTTTCCAATTCTTTTCTCAGCTGGGCTTGGCCGATGCAACACGACAAAAGCGTCCCTCGTGCTGAAAGAACAGGTAAAACCCAAATTCTGCAAACCCCGAACAGTTCCATTCGCAGCTCAGAACCAAGTCGCAACAGAACTTCAGCGACTCCAGCATTTGAAAATACTCACCCCGTGCAAATACTCCGAGTGGGCAGCGCCAATTGTCGTTGTCAAGAAGAAAAACGGTAAACTACGCATCTGTGCAGACTACTCGTCGGGCCTCAACGACAGGCTCGAGTCTGACAAACATCCGTTACCAACTCCAGACAAAATTTTCATGCATCAGGCCGGCAAGAAAACCTTCAGCAAAATTGACTTGTCAGACGCCTTCTGGCAAGTTGAACTCGACGACGGCTCAAAAAAGTTGATGAAATCAACACGCATCTCGGTTTATTCACAGTCAACCGACTTCAGCAGGCTTAAAACAGCTCCAGCAATTTTCCAGCGTCTCATCGACACCACTCTCAGCGGTACCAATACATTCGGTTTCATTGATGACATGATTACAGCCGGAATCGACGAAACAGATCACAAAAAGCAACTCTTCGAGACACTTCAACGACTTCAAGACGCAGGATTCAGACTTCAGGCTGAGAAATGCGAATTCGGAAAATCCTCCGTCGAGTTTTGCGGTCATATTGTCGACAATAAAGGAATCCGACCACATCCTGACAAGCTGCAGCAAATTCAGGACCTGCCAAGACCTCAAGACGTCTCGCAACTTCGATCCTTCATCGGCGCGGTCAACTACTACGGAAAATTCATCAAGAGCATGAAAGAGCTACGCGGACCACTGGACAACCTCCTTTGCAAAAACACGAAATTTGAGTGGAAGGAAGAACACGAAAACGCTTTTATCGAGCTCAAAAGGATCCTCGCTTCAGATCTCGTCTTGACTCACTACGACCCGAAGAAGAAGCTTGTACTGGCATCCGACGCATCAGCATATGGAATGGGAGCGACTCTTATGCATCGGTTTCACGACGGAAGTCTTCACCCGATAATGTGCTGGTCGGGTACGTTCAACGAAGCTGAAAAGGGCTACTCGCAAATCGACAAGGAAGCGCGAGCGTTCATCTTCGCTCTCAAGAAGGCTCACGTGTACATCGCAAACCGACATTTCACTGCTCAGATCGATCACAAGCCGTTACTGTGAATCTTCGGATCAAAACAAGGCATCCCGGCTCACTCAGCGGCTCGACTCCAGCGATTTGCCATTGTCGCTCAAGCCTACGATTTCGACATTCATTACGTGGACACTGACAGCTTCGGATACGCCGATGTCCTCTCGCGACTCATATCAAATCAAAACAAATCAAACGAAGACATGGTAATCGCTTCAGTCCAGCTTCAAGAGGAGAAGGACGTCGTCTACCGTTTCGCCATCGAAACGGCCAAAGGCCTTCCAGTCACCTTCAAGGACATCCAGCGAGGAACGAAGGACTGCCCAGTTCTCACCGCAGTCTACAATTTCATCGAGAAAGGAAATTGGCCACAAAAACGACATCAAATCCGAAATCACCAAGTGGAAGGTTTCTTTTTGATTCGCGACAATCTCTCAGTGTCAAATGATGTCATTTTCTACGGCGAACGAGTCGTTGTACCCGAAATTCACCGTCAACGAGTTCTCGAGCATCTTCACCAAGGCCACCCAGGCGAGTGTCGATCCAAATTGCTCGCCAGCAGCAAATGTTTCTGGCCCGGCATCACCAAAGACATCGAGCGCTTCGTCCGCACCTGCGAGAAGTGCGCAACAGTCTCCAAAGCTCCGATCAAGTGCAGCTTGCAGCCCTGGCCAATGCCCGAAAAACCTTGGTCGAGAATTCATGCAGACTACGCTGGGCCCATAGACGGATTCTCATTTCTGGTCATCGTCGATGCTTTCAGCAAGTGGCCAGAAATCTTCAAAACGAAATCGACAACAGCCACAACGACAATTGAATTCTTCAAGAATGTTTTCGCTCAACATGGCTTGCCAGACACCATTGTAACCGACAATGGCCAGCAGTTTATCTCCACTGAGTTCAAGGACTTCTGCAATTCCAACGGCATTCAACACTTGACTTCATCGCCGTATCATCCACAATCGGAAGGCCAGGGAGAAAAATTCGTCGGCCTATTCAAGACAGGCTACAAGAAAGCAACAGGAAACGTTGACCAAAAAATTCGAGAATTTCTCTTCTCCTACCGATTTACGCCTTCATACAATCTCGGCAACAAATCTCCAGCAGAGCTGCTCAACAGTTGCAGAATGAAGACCACGCTGGATCTCCTTAAACCACAACAGCCATGTTGGACCGACGTCAACTCGCAGATGCAACATCAGTTCAACAATCACCACGGAGCCAAGTGGAAGCAGTTTCTGCCGGGTGACCACGTCTATTACCAACTCCACTCTTCAACGGACAAGTGGCAATGGACTCCTACTACAATCATCGAAAAAGTTGGAAAGGTCAACTACAACGTACGTCTTGACTTGTCAAGCAACCAGAGAGTCATTAAAGCTCACGCAAACCAGCTAAAAACTCGTTACACCAAAAACGAGTTCAATGACACCTTCGAAATTCCCGATTGGCCTGAAACAACTACTCTGACAGGCGAAGCCGAGCCTATCATCATCCCGCAACCTCAACAGGACATCAACATCAATCAACTGCCGAACCTTGATGAATCCAACTATGAAGATGCAGCTGAAGACATCGAAGAACCAGTAGTTACTCCGGCAGTCGACCAGGAAGATTTTCAACCCCGACGATCAGACCGATCGACCAAAGGAATTCCCCCGACCGTTACCAAGCATCTTAAGAGGGGAGGAATGTGGTGAATGTGTAAATTCATACACAACTGTATTCATTAGATGCGACTGTGTTCATTATGTTTCTCTATTATTGATTTGACAAACGAGAGTTAGTTTTTCTATCACCGCCGATACATACGCGAAATATATTTATTTCATATTTATAGAAGTACCCCTAGCCTTGTCCTTATTTGCCTCGACATACAGGGTTTACTTCAGTCTCCTCCTATTATTATTTGCTCTCCTACGCCGCCATCATTTGTGTACTCCTTTATGTGCTTTATCTTCTTTTCAATATCATTGTTTGCGTATATCGTTATGATCCTCCATTTGCCTTTCCTTTGTTTTTGCTGTTCTTTCTACAATTCCTTCTTCTTCCCTTTCTTTTGTTCCATCCTCTGCTATTTCTTTTCTAACTCCTGTTATTATCCCTCCTCTTGCTCTTCCTTTCTTTTTTTCTTTCTTTGCTGGTTGGCATTTCCATACATAATTATCCGGTAGTCTCTTCTTAGTTTTACTCCAATCTTTTTGTTCTACCCATGTTTCTATCATCGCTATTATATCCCATTTTTCTATCTCTTTCCAGAATTCATCATTTTTTCTCATCAATCCTAATATATTCCAGAAGCCTACCGTCATTGTATTTGCTTTCTGTTCTTTTTGCTTACCCTCTTCTTGCCTTTCCCTCTGTTTCTTCTTTCTTTTTCTCCTGCTTTCTTTGTCCTCTTCCTTCTTATCCCCTTTCTTCTCCTTACTGCTTCCGAAAGCTCTTTCTCTCTTCTAACTTTTCTTTATTCTCGTTCCATTTTAATTCTGTGTTGTCCACCCATATCTTTTGGTATCCTATTTTGGTTCTCTTGCCTGCTTCTCTCTCCTCCTTTGCTATTTTTCTTATTTCTTTCTGTATCTTTCTTTCTGTTTTTGTTAGATCATCGTCCATGAAGACTTCGTATCTCTTTCCTAATTCCTTCCTTTTTGTCATTATCTCTCTTTTATCTTCCCAGCTCCTGCATTTCAGCATTATCATTTTGTTTTCTCCTATTCCTATTTCCTGCATTTCCTCGATTGCCACTTTGTTCTTATTTGTCTCCTCTATCATCATCCTGATTTTTCTTTCTTTTCTTTCTCGCTTCTTCTTGTCGCTTCTTTGACGATTATATTATTTCTCCTTCTTCTTCTCTCTCCCATTTCTATGTTTTTTCTATTTCCTTCATTTTTTCTATTATCATTCTTTCTTCTTTTCCTCCTTCTCTTTCCGTGTCTTCTTTCTCAGCTTTCTCTTCCAATTTTTTTATTCTCTCTTCCATTGCCTCTCTTTGCTTCTCCCATATTTCTTCTCTCCTCTTATACTCTTTCTTCAGCTCCTTTATTTCGTTTTTTATTTCTTTCTTATCTTTTTTTCTTTCCTTCTCTTGATCTTCCATTCTCCTTAAGATTTTTCTCAGCATTTCCTCTGTTGCCATGTTCTTTTTTTCTTCCTTTTCTAAGAAAGAAACTTCCTTTTCTAAGAAATTGATAGATCACCACCGAACAAGAAGTTCGGTGGTGATCTATCAATTTTTCTTAGTGCGTTGAATTTTTCTATTATTTCTTTTTCTGCTTTTGCTGTTTCTTCTTCTATTTCTTCTCTTTTCCTTTTTTGCAGAAATTCCTTGATTGATCCTAGGCTATCCGTTCTCCCTCTCTGTTTTCCCAGCTCTTCTGCTTTCGTTGGCCTGCCCTTTATTTTCCTTCTATTTTCGTCCTCTTTCCTGTCTTCCTTATCTCCTTGCTGCTTCTTTTCCGTTGCTTTTTCTCCTTCTTTCCCCATCCGTCGGTACACTTATCCGCCTCTTCCCTGTCGGTTATCTGTTTCCTGTTGCTGTCGGTAAGTTCCCTTCCTTTACTTTACTTTTCCTCCGGCAGTTGTCGCTTCCTTCCTCTTTATCTCCCTCGTGTTCTTACCTGTCACTCTAACCTAATTCGTCTTCTACCTATCCCTATATTGCTTCTTAAATTATAATTCAGCTCTTTGTGTCTGAGCTACCTTATCTCTCCTTGCTCTCCTGCCTCCGCTCTCTCTGTCCCTCCGTCTCCTTTCTCCTTCCTCCCTCCAAATCCACTATTCTTCACAATCTTCTTCCTCCGTCGCTCTACACGTCTGCTAACTTCAACTGTCGTATCGATTTCGTATTTTTGCCTGTATAATAATAAGCCACAGTTTGTTTCCATCTGTGCCCTATGCTTGCAAGCATAAAAACTAAGCCATTGGTCGCAATGTCGTTGTTATTATGCCCGGGTAAAGTTACGTGCCCTACTGTATATTAGTGGATATGTCGAAAACGGTACCTGCTGATATATTAATTTCATCAAGCACAAGTAAACAATCTCTATCCCTATCGTTTTTCAACTGTGAGACTTTAATGTGTAAAAATTGAAAAACTTCGTGTAAAATTCCACTCTGAAATTTTAAATTTTCGAGTTTTCGATTCAGCCTTCGCAGTGAAGGAAGCGGAAAACCGTGCTTTAATAATTCTTTGTAGCCAGATAACCCACATGAAAACTTTAATTGACAGGTTTTGACTAAAGTGGAGTTGCACCAATTGGGCATTCTTTTATACCCACACCTCAACTTTTTTATCTGGTCATCATTGAACATGTTTTTCAATGCGTTTGAAAAACGTTTTTGCATACGTACTTCTTGTTCCAAGGTTTTAATTTTTTCCCTGTATTGTCTTTGCCGACGTTTGTGGCTCTTTTTCATTGCAAACCTTAATCTTTCTGACTTTTGTAGCTGTTTTTGCAGTCATTCAATGACTCCAGAATTATCTGAAGTCGATCCGTGTTCAGTTTCTCCCACTGTTTCATCCATTACACTGTGACTTTCTTCAGTGTCGAGCGTTGTCTGCTTTTTTTTACGTGTGGAAATCCTTTATGGATACCCGGGCCCCCCTCCGGGAAGGGAGTT